ATTGCATTTTTGATTGTGAATTTTTTCCCAAATCTGTCGCTGTGGCGCAGAAAGTTGTAGGGACTAGGTGTCCTGCATCATACCAATGTTCACTTTGTCTGGTTTTGTTGCAGCATGCCCCATATACACTATTTTTATAAATAAATAAATAATAATAAAATAATTACTGTCTTGATTCAGATTCAATATTATAGAAAAAAACATATGATTTTGTTCACTATATAGAGTGAAAGTGTTCAATTCTCATTAAAACTATATGGGACCTTTTTCTAGCAAAAACAACCTTCCATAAAAATAGAGTAGCATAGTGGAAATTAGTCACAGATCATCAAAAAATGACCAACATAACCAACAAAACATAAGTTACAGTGAATGGTCTTGTAATAAAAAAGTAGGCAATAAACTGGACTTCAAATGCATCTCAATTGGATCTCCAACTTAGAGAGATGAAAACTATATGCTAGTGAAGTTTCAAGGAAAACAGGTTCTGTGTAACATATTGGACAAAACAAATATCACAATTATTTGTTGAAGAAGCTATAAATGATTCAACAATGAAACATAATAATGAATCTATTAGATATAAATATGGAATGGGTTGGAGATGGTATGACTTTAGTTCACTATTTAAAAATAGCTTTAGAAATTTACCAAATATAACAAAATAAATTCATCATCTTGTTGCTCCAAAAACAAGTATTTCCAAAAATTTCAATGGCCTTAATATAACTAATACAAGGTTCTGGTTCTATTTCTGACTCATGAGAATCTGATAATTATTACTTCATCTGTAACAATTGTCTTCCTTTTCATTTTATTTAATAATAATAATAATCATTTTAATCATTAATAATTTAGATTATATCAAATGCATCTATAGTTTCAACCACTATAATTAACATATCAAAAAAAGAATTTACAGAAACTCTCAACATTTTTATATTTGTACATTCAAAATTTCTAATAATAATAAATTAATAAATTATTAAATTATTAATAAATTTTTAAAAAAAAAAGTTATATTAAAAATTTACTCGCATAATAAGTTTATCATCTTGTGCAATAATACTTCGTTTAACTTGGTCACTTCTAAGCTCTTTATCAACATTTAAAACCTTTTCAGCTATTTTTGCTAATCTTGAAGAGGGAAATGTAATTGTAAAGTCCCTAAACAAACAAATTCAGTAAATAAATAATAAATCTAAAGTATTAATTAATTGATTGAATTTTTTAAAAAATTTACATTAAATAATCTAATTTATTGGACATTTTTTTTTTAATTTTTAATTTTGTAAAATTTCTCGTGTTACTATTTTATACCTTGAAATTTTTGGTGTTACTAAAATGTCAAAATGATCACCCGACTTTGAAAATTTAATATTATATAAAAATAAAAACATTGTATTGTTCAGGTAACAATGAAACTTTAATCAAAATCATTTCTAAAAAAAAAAATTCTCTCTTCTTTTAACATATACATAGTCAGCCCCGTTGAACCGAAGACGTTTGTGCAATAACTTTTGGATTAATAAATGTCACGTATCACATGATCTGTATTGACTTTGCCAGTAATTACCTAAAATGGAAAGTGCTGAAATTTCATAAAATTTTTATACAACTTTCAAAAATTTCTTCAGTAATCTTATTCTTCTAATCAATTACAGTTTTATTTTTTAATTACATATTTTTATGGGCCCCTGAAGCCTTTTAAAGATAACTTCCAAAATTGATGTTTATGACAATCCAAAAAATTTTTGAACCATATACTTTTTTAGCTTAATATATTATGGTCAGCCAGCAAGGACAAAAAATATAGCAAACTGTTGAAAAAAGAATTACAATACTCATAAATCTAGATAGTTCATCTAACAAAAATATTTCTTTTGTATATCTAGCATAAGTGTTTAGATTTCTTTCTAAAAATCAAATTGCTAAGGGTCTGAATGAATCAATGTAATTCGAACCTATAAATAATTGGATTGAATTAGTTCAAATCTAATTCAAATATATGCCATATGAAATAATTGGAATACTGCACAATTTTAAAAGGGTGTATTTGGAAATAAATGGTTTCAAAGTCAAAAAAATATTTGGCTTTTCATTTACAAATGTGAAATGGTTCCATACTTCACTTCTTGTTCTTGTTCTTCTTTGAACACATTGCACCATGCCTGTTGAGAAGTAATTGTAGAGGCATCATTTTCAATAATGCAATTATTGTCATTCATGAATTGTGCAATTGTAAATTGTATCATTTTTTAATATTAATATTAAGTCATGATGATGATCACATAGAAGAAGCAAATAATCATGATTCTGAAAAACCATCAATCTATTGTCATTAATCACAAAAAAGAAAAGCTAACCAAGAGGGACTTTACTAATTCTAATGAAATTAATAATCATAATCCTCAACCTGATTCTTTAAAATCCCAAACAAGGAAAAAATATAAACATAAGAAAGTTAATGAAAGAAGAAATCATCAAAAATAAAATGAACTTTTTTCAACTGTATTTAAAAGTGATCAACATTATAATTTAAAATTTTACTCCATATAATTGGTCTACATTTCAATTTCTTTAAATCTATATTCATATGACATGTTTTTGATCAATTCTCATTCTATTCATCCATTTACATCTTCTTGCAATAACAACAACATTGCCAAACCCTGAAATTAAAACAAAAAATCTTTAAAAGATCAAAAAGATCATCCAGCTTATTCAGGCAATGGATAAGTTATAATGATAAAGTAATATCCAAAGAATTCAAATAATAATTATGTATTATTACTTTATTAATAATTTGTGCATTGATGGGTTTAAACAAGGTTCTTTTTATTTTTTACAAACAACCAGTTTTTATTTAATAATTTAATCATTGTTTAGGTAATGAATGAAACAAAATTTATAAATGATTATCATGGCATATCAAAAAACTATGTCCAAAATAGACAAAATTAAAATTAAAAAAGGTGCTGAAATTTTAGTTAGTCATGGTAAAGGATTTTGGAAGAGAAGATAAATCAGTCAATTGATTTGGTTTATTAATATTTTTTTAATTGGAGGAAAAATATTTTAAATTATTAACAAAATTAATTATTAACATTGATCATTATATCGGATTAAAAATTTAACCTAATTCTATAGTCTCTCTAATGGATAGCTTTTATTCCTTTTCAAGTTTCCCTTTGAATCAATTTCATTATTTCGGAATGCCAAATCATCTTTATTAATAATATAAGGCATAACATTTGCTGGTACCAATGAAAGTATATCAAAAAGAAATGTTTTATCATTCTTCTTCACATGACTTCTTTGATTATTATTGTTATTATTATTATTATTTTGTTGTTGTTGTTGTTGTTGTTGTTGTTGTTGTTGTTGCTGTTGTTGAGATCTTAAACATGATTTTTGTGATTTTGATGATATTGGCATTGCTGTTGATGGTGGTTTGATTTTTGTTGATTCTTGAAGTTGATGTTGACGTTGATGATGTAAAGGTGTTTGTTGACTCGTTGGTTTATTTTGTTTCGGTAATGCTGGCCTTTTTACATCAACATTATCTGAAAAAATTCCAAAATCATGAGAAAAATAATATTCATTATAATTCCAATACTGATTTCTATCATATCCATCATATTTCTTACTATTAATTTTACTATTGTATTTATTACTATCAATGCTATTATTATTATCCTGATTATTATTATGTAAAGAAGATTCTCTCAAAATTTTGATTTCATCTATCTCCATATTTGTTGTCACCATTTTTCTATCATTAGTTTCATTTTCACTGCTATCAATATCACCACCATTTTCACATATACCATAAAATTTATTATTATTACTAAAATCCTCATTATCATTAAAGACATTGTTCAAGTCGTCATTATTATCATCATTATTGTTGTTGTTTAACCTTTTTCTCAACATTAATATTTTTTTGCGAGTTGCCATTTATTTTACTGTAAAGAAAATATTTGTTTGGTTTGCCAAAATATACGCGATTTTTATTCATCCAATCAGAAGCAACAAAAGCAAATTAGTTAATTGATTATTTTTGTAGATCAATTCTAAATTTATATCACATTGCTCAATGAATGAACGACCTTGAAAATGTTACCAACCAATATTCCTTACATGTTCTCAAGCTTAATGGTAGTGTGGCCTTGAAAATTTTGCCAATAAAATATTTGAGTTTAATGATAACCTCAAAAATGCTACCCCCCTTATATGTTCTAAGCTCAACAACGGTGACCTCGAAATTACTAATCAAATATTCCATATATGTTTTCAAGTCAACAGTGACCAATCAAATATCACATATATGTTTTCAAGCTCAATAATGTCCTTAAAATAAATATTTTTTATATGTTTTTGAGCTCAATGGCGATCTTGAAAATACTACCAATCCTTGTAATGTTTTCAAGCTCAATGAAGACCATAAAAGCTACCAATCAAATAAATATTCATTTGTTTTTATTTCGTTTAAATAATTTAAAAACACAGCATCATTAATTGTTTTCTGCTAAGATCTTGTATTAAGTTGGCAAAAAATCATTCACAGAATATAATAATATTCTATTATTATCCTATATGTTGCACAATCCTGATAACTTATCTTAGTTCAATGATTGTAGTCTTGATTCAAAATGAATAAAGTTGGTGTCTGTACTGATTTGAAATTCTGCAGATTCCTATATTGCACAACTCTTATATTCTAAATCGTGCAACTGGTTGTACTTCTTAGTTGCAGACACCAACTTTATTGTTAAAGACGTTAATAAAGAAGAATATCCGGCACCAGAGTAATCGATTAAATATTAAATTAGGAGTTTATCAAAGAAAAAAACCAATCCCTCGGAATTTTGATGCTAAACGGATCTCTGCCTAATTTGCATCTTACTTTTGAATACATGGTTTTTTGGAAAATTCTTTCTGTAGAACCAAACCACTTGTAGCAATTTGAATAAATGATTAAAAAAATAACAACCAAATTGGATTTAGCATTTATTTCGGTTTTAAAGTTCCTCCCCTAATTACGGGTTTTAGATAAACTATAATTGTGACCAGGGTAATACAATTTCTCATTGCAATGCATGCCAAGAAACATTCATTTTGAAAAATTCGCGAATAATGTTCGAATAGAAACTTAAAAATATGACCCAATCCAAAAAGGAATTTTTTATTTAGAGACAATAATAAAATTCAAATTCAAATTCAAATTCAAATTCAAACTCAAATTCAAATTCGAATTCGAATTATTTATTTGTTAATATTAATATTAATAATAATAATATTAATAAATAAATAACAATCGAATAATCGAATGTTCCGTGGCGTACTAATCAAATTTGGAAATTACCGCAATTAATTACCAAATTTGTATATTCACATAATGTCCTCAGAAATTAAAATCCGATTAGATTAAGGGTTTGGTTTGGTTTGGTTTAAGATTAAATTTATCCTCAAATTAAATATTAATTTGATAACCTTGAAAATCTTTGAAGTGGAAAATGAAGGATATGCAATTTATTTTGTAACTATTTCAAATATTTGTGATATTTGTAATTATTTTGGACAGTCATAATTATTTCAGATATTCATAATTATTTGTATTTATTTTGAATATTTATAATCATTTTTTAAAATATTTATTTATTTATTTTGATTCGTAAATCTTAGAGGGTAAGATTTGTAAAATAAATCGATCAAATCCTAAGATTAAATAAATTTTGATCGACAAATTTATATATATATATTAATATCAATAAAAAAAAGTTCTAAATTACACTTAAAGGTCCTACTGTATTCCTCGATGAGAAGGACAAGTAAGAATAAGTGCGAGCTTCAGTGACATTATAGATTCTTCCGTTTGGTTTCAATGTAATAGATCATATGATTTACAAACATAGTCGATCACATATATATATAAATTTTCATAAGGATTTTTTTGGGGGTTTGCGAATTTATTATTATTTTTTGGAGCCACAAAAAAAACAAATTGGTGACCATCGTTGGCAAACGTCGCAAAACTCAAAATAACTCTTAAACTATTATGATATATTCAAATAAAAGTTTATGTTTTAGATTCACTTTTTGATGCTCTTTAAACTTATAGAGAGCTTTTTACAATTTTACTTACATAAAATTTTGTAACATATATTCACAACTTTTACTTTGATTTTCTAGCTTAAAATAAATGCCATTGTTTAAAAAAAAGAGCTCTATTACTTTATTATCCTATTTCTCTAGTATTTTTAAAAAACTTAACTCGGAGTCAGTATATCTATTCTTTAAAGAGTTTACTATCGAAAAAACAGATCGTCAAAAAACTGTCATGAAAATTTGTGATCGACTATGTTTGTAAAAATCATATTATGTAGGGACACCCCAATAAAAGAAGTACAACGAAAAAGAAAAATGGTAGAATGAATGTTTTGTTTTCAAAAATCAATATTTATAAATTTGCCTGGAGTTGATTTACCTAGTAAACAATTACACCAAAAAATTACGATAAGCAAAAAAAAAAAATCAATTTCTACAAGTACGGAAATAAAACAATGACAAAATGATTTTTTTAAAGTATTCAAAAAATATGAAAAGGGAATATCATTTTTTAAGATGAAAAATTTATATTAACGTGTTCATAAAATTGCATATAAATAAGCATGTATCGTATTAAAAATTCCAACCTTCAATTCCTCAAGCTCTCTTTAATGACAAAATTACAATCAAAGAAAAGAAATTAATAATAATAATAAACGATAATAATAATTGCACTTTGATAAATAATAATAATAAATAATAATAACAAATTTCTAATATTTGTATGTATTTATATGTCGTTGGTTTAGTATCGGATGGAAGAATAATTGTTTATGGTGATATTAAAACCAGACGAATCAGCGATATTAGATACTGCAAAAAACCGTTTTTTTAATATTTATTCGGTTAATGGAAACATTAAGGTCGTCATCATACTTCAAATTTGTATAATAATCATATGATACATAATTGTGTTTGGCTAAAATTGATACCTTCCTTATGATATTAGACACAAGTGACAACAGTCGATTTTATCGAAATAGAAAAAAGTACACTTGCGTTAATTACTAAAAACAACAACAATAATGATGAACTTGGCTGATAATGAGTTTGTTGACGATGGAATTAATACTAGTAATATTGAAATTATAGCACCAATTAATATCAATAGTAATAGGATAGGGATACTAAAGTTGTTAGTTGATAATACCGTATTAACGAAAATTTACGAGTATTTATTTATTTAATAATAAACTAAGAGGGATAAATTCTATATGTGTAGTTACATTTAATTGTTTATGAATTTGCTTGTAAATTTCAAAGTATTGTCCAAGTACAACTGACTAACTGCCTTTGTCTGTTATGTTGTGACAAACATTTAAGATTAAAATTACCCTAATAATGTAAGCCCTAAGTGCACAAGTATTTAGTCAACATGCAAAGTGCACGTTTTGAGGATAGAAATTACCACCAGAAGGCAAAACTCGATTATCTTAATCTCTTTTCTTTTAGCAACTGAAATATATGATTCACTTATGGAAGGTGAACTTAAAAGATGATCGACTGTATACTTGATAAATTCATCATTTTTTTAGATTGGATCGCGGTTAATCAAATCAATCTACTTAATAAAAACATTTGATAACGGAAAATATTAATGTGTATTCAAATCTTGAATTTACCAATAATTTATTATAACTATTTGCCACCTACACATTCTTTAATAATGAACTTATATACAAAGAGTATATAAATAAATTTATAAAGAACAAAAATCATTCTTGAAAAAGGTATGTTGATTTTGATGTTTTAACATCAAAACCGTATAAAGTTTTTCCTCTACGTTTTAATGCAAAAAGAACCTCCATAAGTGTCACTGTTTTCTTATTTTCATATTCCACATATGATACCACATCTCTAAGAACATGGTATAGAAAGTCTTTAAGAGCTGTTCTTGCCTCATCATAAATACCTGCTGAGATTCTTTTTACACCACCTCTTCGTGCCATTCTACGTATTGCTCCTCTTGTTACATTTTTAACATTTTCTTTGAACAATTTCTTAATAATTTATTTTATGTTTTATTTCACATCGTTAATAATTTATTATTTTTTAAATATCATTTTATTTAAAAGCACTTACACCTTGTCTTCTTACTGTTTTACCCCTTAAAGTTTTACCTCCAACACTAGAACTTCTAGTTTTTCCTTTACCCTGCCCAATTGCCATTATAAACTATAACCGAATGTTTTATTATTAATTGCCGCACCTAAAGACATTAAAAATAAAGATATATCATTAATGTGATATATAATGATTTCATATTTAATTATTATAAAAGAAATGCTTATAAATAATATATAATAAAAAACCAACAGTAAGGTTCCGATATGAATTAGTTATTTATTGTCTGTCTATTCGAAATATTTTGGTTTGTTGTTGTTGCAAGTGTAAAATGTGACCAGGAATGGAAGTTATGTGATCTACAAAGATCTACAATTTGATCAGATTGGCTGGACCTATTTGCAGATCACGTTGTTTATTAACAATGGCGCAGCCAATAACATAAATATTCAATTGAACACTGGTTAGGATAGTCCGCCAAAAATCATAGTGAGTGCGTCAAAAAAATTACATCTTCATTGGTTTCCAAAAATAGGACCCTGAAACTAGGTATGGGGCCTATTGTAGTCAGGGAATATGCTAAATTTGGTATTTCTTAATTGTGACATACTACAACAAAACCAGACAAAATGAACATTTGCACTACCAAGTATTTCAGGGATCAAAATTTAATGTGATTATTAAAACTCCCATTTGTTGTTAACTTATATCAGATCTACTATGGAACCCAAAATTATAGCACATTGGTGGTATTTGAAGAAAGAACAAGGTGAAAAATTGTTCCTTATGTTTTCAAAATAAATGATATTCAGACACTGGAAGCTTATCTAAAAAAGAAAAGATTACTTATGAAATTTAAAAATAATAAATGCTAGAAAAAGAGAGCAGCATGAAGGTGTACTATTACCCAACAAAAACAGAAAATCACTTAAGAGAAATAATCTTATTATTCTATTATTTCTTTTTAGTCCTTTTAACAACATAAATCACAACAATTATAAAACCTAAAATTAAAGCTGTACCTGCTATTCACAATCAAATGGATTTACCATCAAACTTTTTTTCATTCTTTAAAATCTTGTTTTATATTTCACTACAGCTTTGGCAAAATCTTCATCTTTTAAGTCTGAGACAGTAGTTTTGAGGTGGTAGATTGGGGTGTCCCACATCATATGATTTACAAACATAGTTGATCACATGTATAAATTTTTATTAATGAGGATTTTTTAGGGGGTTTGTGAATTTATTATTATTTTCACAAATTACAAAACTCAAAATAACGCTTAAACTATATGATATATTCAAACAAAAATTTATGTTTTAGATTCACTTTTTGATGCTCTTTAAACTTATAAAGCTTTTTATGATTTTACTTGCATAAAATTTTGTAACATATATTCACAACTTTTACTTTGATTTTCTAGCTTAAAATAAATGCCATTGTTTAAAAAAAAGAGCTCTATTACTTTATTATCCTATTTCTCTAGTATTTTTAAAAAACTTAACTCGGAGTCAGTATATCTATTCTTTAAAGAGTTTACTATCGAAAAAACAGATCGTCAAAAAACTGTCATGAAAATTTGTGATCGACTATGTTTGTAAAAATCATATTATGTAGGGACACCCCAATAAAAGAAGTACAACGAAAAAGAAAAATGGTAGAATGAATGTTTTGTTTTCAAAAATCAATATTTATAAATTTGCCTGGAGTTGATTTACCTAGTAAACAATTACACCAAAAAATTACGATAAGCAAAAAAAAAAAAATCAATTTCTACAAGTACGGAAATAAAACAATGACAAAATGATTTTTTTAAAGTATTCAAAAAATATGAAAAGGGAATATCATTTTTTAAGATGAAAAATTTATATTAACGTGTTCATAAAATTGCATATAAATAAGCATGTATCGTATTAAAAATTCCAACCTTCAATTCCTCAAGCTCTCTTTAATGACAAAATTACAATCAAAGAAAAGAAATTAATAATAATAATAAATGATAATAATAATTGCACTTTGATAAATAATAATAATAAATAATAATAACATGTCAACGCCACCAACACTACAGCAAGTAGAACAAACCCCACTAGACATGGGGGCAAACATTGGATGGGTGTTGTTGTCTACTGCATTAGTATGGTTGATGATACCAGGTCTTGGATTTTTTTATAGTGGTCTGGCAAGAAGGAAAAACGCCCTATCACTTGTATTTATGTGTATTTTGTCTATTCCTATTGTTTCATTTCAATGGTTCGTGATAGGGTATAGTTTAGCTTTTAGTCCGACAGGTGGCCCATTTATTGGCAATTTTGATCATGCACTTTTAAGAGGCGTTGTGACCAAGGTATATAAAAATGGAAAGATTCCCCAGTTGGCTCATTCCATATTTCAATGTATGTTTGCGGCTTTCCCACCAGCTTTGATAATAGGCGGATCAGCTGAAAGAGCTAGGACCATGCCAACATTAGTATTCTTTGTGATCTGGACAACTTTGGTTTATGATTTTATCGCATATTGGTGTTGGTCGGATAATGGATGGTTTGCACATTTGGGTGGACTTGATTTTGCTGGCGGTACACCAATACACATTTCATCAGGTGCTGCTGCTCTGGCTTATTCATATGTATTAGGTCCAAGAAAAGACATTGGTGAAGGTGATTTTAGACCTCATAATATCATGAATGTCATCCTAGGTACTGCACTGCTTTGGTTTGGTTGGTTTGGTTTCAATGGTGGAAGTGTATTATCAATTGATACAAGAACAATCTTAGTATGTACTGTGACAAACTTAGCAGCATCAATAGGTGGTTTAACATGGATGTTGATAGATTACCGATTCGAACATAGATTCTCTGTGGTTGGGTTTTGTTCAGGTGCATACCTACTGCTGGGTATATTAGCATACCATCATCGTTGCTTTTTAGTATTTTTCCAGGAGTAATTTGTAACATTCTTGTCAAATTAAGAGATATGATGATGTTTTGGATGTGTTTGCAATACATGGTATTAGGTGGTGCTTGTTGATTGGTATATTTGCACAAAAAGAGATTGCTTTATTAGATGGTATCACTTGAATAAATGGTGGTTGGTTGGATGGTAATTTCATACAATTGTTATATCAGTTATTTGTTGTAATGGCAGGACTTGGTTATAGTTTTGTTATAACCTTGTTAATACTACTTGCTATGGATCAAATTCCTGTATTGAAATTGAGGGTTAGATCTAATGAGGAAAATAATGGAATTGACAAGTCAGAATTAGGTGAAATGGGAGATAACCCTCAGGATGAAAGGATGAGAATTGAGCCAGAGATGAATGATACAGATCAAAGAGTTATTCCATAAAATTAAATCTTTTTATTTTGAAGAAAGGTTTTATACTCTATTATTAAATAATTTTTATTTTATTTATGAAAATAATAATCCCATTGCCCCTAATGTTAATAATGATAATCTCAATATTAATGATATAATAATAGTAATAATAATATTATTAATGATAATCTTAATAATAATAATAACATGGTTGATTGGTAATAGTTAGCATTTATTAAGCAACAAACAAAAATAATAATAGCAGTGAAAATTCATTCATTTTTTAGCCTGTACCAATTTTGTCATAAATCTTGGTGATATGTTTTCAATGAGAAATTTTATTGTTTTTAATCTTGATAATAATAATATTTTATTACTTTTAAACAAATTACAAAAAAATTAAATACATATAAATATTATAAATAAATAAATAACTTGCCTTAATTCTAATTGTTTATTCACAACTTAACCTCAAAACTAATTCCACACCTAAAAATCATCATTATATTATTCTATTTCCATCTGTAATATACATATAAAAACAATAGCATACCAATAACAACAGTGATATTAATAACTACATACCCACAGCCAGACACTGCTTGCGGATTATCTATTACTTGGAATTGTGACCCGATTAATTCCTCTGTATAATCTATTTTTGAACCTTTAATTAATCCTAAAGATATTTCATCTATTATCACTTTTGCTCCATTCTTATCAAAAACTCTATATAATAACATAACATTTTTTTTAGATTGTAATAATAAATTTTATATAATTACATATATGACAACTTACACATCATCTTCTTTTAATGAATTAGTTTTCACTAAATCGTAAAAATATTGAAACCCATGACATCCACCAGAATCTACTCTTATTCTCAATGCATTACTCTTGTTGTGATCATTATCATGCTTCGTTATTGATAAAAGTTTCTTTTTATTATAAAGCATTAGAATTCCACATTATATATTTCAAAAGCAAATATTATAAAATAAAAGATTATAAAAACCTTAACAGCCCGATCTGTAATTTCAATTCTATTGTCATTTTTTATTTGTTCTTTTTGTAGTCCTTGCTTAAATTGCGTAAAATTTCTTTGCGAGTAATAACCATCAAAAAATTTTATTTTTGTTGATTCATTCTTTACCTTTCTTATTGAATAAGAAGAATGCCTTAAATTATTGTAAACTTGACTCTTGTAAAATCTAAACATTACGAAAAAATAAATTTATTATTATTATAATTATAATCTAGACGTTACACGGACGTATGTAGCACTTGATATTATTAATATTACAGGTCACTCCCGTTATAAGGACAGCTCGTTATAGTGACAATCTCGTTATAGTGACATTTTTTCAAAAACACACTTTATAAATATAAATTTACTCCTGTTATAATGACATTCATTATGTATCCCGTTATAAGAGTATAAGGACAAAAAATTTTTTATAATTATAGAAAGATTTGGA